TCAAATTGATTTGAGTCTATACAATAGATATAGCACACACATGAATAAGTAAACCACAAGTCAAAATTTCTGTAAGAGTTCCTCAAACCAAGTGCCACAGGGTTTAAGGTAGGGAGAGGTTCCATTTGACTATGATGATCTATCTGGTAAGTTAGAATGGAGGGTTTATTCAACCTGGAATATGGAGGATGAGAAGGATTTCATTAGGTAGAGAGAACAGCAGGCCAGATATGGGAAAGATACAGCAGGCAGAAAAAAAAGACTAATGAATGGAAACAAGGCAGTACGGTTTAATCTAATTTGGCAAGGAAATGACCCTTCTTTCTTTAATAGGAGTCAGGGTGGGGAGGAGGCTGAGCTGTGGCTGTTTGCAGCATATCTGTTGTTGCACTATTGTGTTCTTCACATGGGTGGCCCATCAGGCTCCCTGCCAACCTCCCATTCTTCCAGGGTAAGGGTATTTGTGGGTATCACATTCACATGCCCAGTGAGTCGGCCACACAACCCCTTCAGTTGCCAGGTTTAAATTACCTTAATGGAATTGATTTGTGCTATGCAAATACATTGGCTTCTCTGCAGTTGTGATGTGTTTTTATTTTGCTTTACTCCTATTTATCTTCCTAGCAAACTTCCTTTTGTAAAGAGTGAATGAAGAAAGCTTATCCACAGCTGAGCCCACAGTTGGGGAAATAGCACCCTGAAGGATGCTCTGGTAGTGATCAGCATTCCAGCTAAAGAATAGAGGTTGGGGGATGGAACAAAACTTAAACACTTTTTTCTAAATGTTCTCTGCTTGCCTAGTTAGCTTGTTTTTCAAAAGTTGTGTGCTTATAGAGACCAGTACTATAAGTGAAACAACCTGCAGCATAATTATCCATGGGGCTTGTCAAAAATCAGATTTCTGAGCCCCATATCAGTTCAGCTATATTGGACTCACTAAGAATGGGGCCAAAGAATTTTTATTGTTTAACTTCTTTTAATCAACTGTGTTAACTAATAATTTATATTCAGTAATGTGCATCCACCTGGCATGCACAGTTCAGTGGATATATGATCATATAGTCACCATTACAATCAAAATTGCCATCGCCGTAAAAAGTAACATCATGCCCCATTGCATTTAATTCCTCTTATCCTCAGCTCCAGTTAACCACTGATTTGCTTTCCGTAAATATATGTTAATTGTGTCCATTATACAAATTTCACGTAAATGGAAATCATACAGTTTATGCTCTTTGATGTCTTTCTTCTTTTGCTCAGCATAATGCTTTTGAGGTTCATCCACTCTGTTATAGGTTCTTATTATTTCTGAATTGTATTCACCATAGATATACTGTAATTTATGTCATCACCCATTGCTGGACCTTTTGGTTGTTTCCAGGCTCTGGTTATTTTTAAGAAAGCTGCTATTAATATTAATAAGACTTTGTGTGAACATATGTTTTAATATGTTTCATGTTTTAATCAAGACTAAAAATATAGAATTGAAATTGCCAGATTACATAAAAGTATATTTTAATTGAATAAGAAACTGCCAAAGTGTTTCTAAAAGTGATGGTACTAGTTTTTATTCTTCAGCAATGTGTGAGAGGTTCAGGTGTTTCGTGCCCTTGCTAAATTTGGTATTTTCATTTAATCCATTTGAGAGGGCAAGTAGTTGTAAATCAATATCATTTATTAAAGTGTTTTCCTCTTGACTACTGCTGTTGAGCATCTTCTTAAGGGTTTATCGACCATTTGTGTATCTCCTTTGCCCACTGTTTCTATTGGATTCTTTGTCTTTTTATATTTGAATTGCAAGGTATTTTGGGCCATTCTTGCATGGTTATAAAGAACTACCTGAGACTGAGAAATTTATAAACAAAATAGTTTTAATGGACTCACAATTCTTTTTTTTTGGGTGGGTGTGTCAAATAGAATTTATTGTGGTTCTGACTATACACACAAAAGATTGCCTGGCTGGACAAGCAGGGCTCACCTCGTTTGTACAATAAATATATCTCCGGTCAGGCTCTCTGCTGTCGGGAGATGCCACCCACAGTTCAGTCCAGCTTCTGTGCTCTCAGCTTCATGGGGCCCTTGGCTGTACAGGAAGCATGGCATTGGCGTCTGCCCATCTTCTGGGAAGGCCACAAAGAGCTTTTACTTATGGTGGAAGGCAAAGTGGGAACTGGCACAACGCATGACAAAAGCAGGAGCAAGAGACGGTTGGTGGGGGAGGGGTCACACATATTTCAACAACTAGATCTCCCAAAAACTCAGTCACCATCACAAGGACCACACCATGCCATGGGGGATCCTCCCTCATGACCCAAACACCCCAATTTCTACAAAAATTTGGAAAACTAGCTAGGCATGGTGGCATGTGCCTGTAATCCCAACTACTCAGGGGGCTAAGGTGGGAGGATCACTTGATTACAGGAGGTTGAGGCTGTAGTGAGCTATGATCCTGCCACTTTGCTATAGCTTGGGTGACAGACCAAGACCCTGTCTCAAAAAAAAAAATCAACAACAAAAAAACCCCAGCAAGATACTATAGAATAAAAATACAATGAAACCAAAGTTTATGGACATGAAAAAGAACACATTAGAAAACATGGAAATTAAAAATATAGGCCTTAACATTTAAAATCACAACAAACAGAATACAATCAAGATTGAGATCAATTAAAGAGAGAGTTAGTAAACTGAAAAATAGTTCTGAGAAATCGATCTACTATGCCATGCAGAGAAATAAAATCAGTTTGAATTAATGGCAACAGAAATAACATAGAATGGAGGACAGCCTGAGAGGAGTTCTAGAAGACTGGAGGGAAGGGAATATCTAAGATAACCGAGAATTTCTCAGAATTTAAAAAAGACCAGTATTCTCAGATCGAAAGTGCACCTGGAGTACTCACCTGAATAAATAACATAAGTCAATGCTTTAGTAAAACTGCAGAGTATCAAGGACAAAAATAACAATTCCAAATCCACTAGAATAAAATAAAGATTACCTATAAAGAAACCATCAGACTGACAACTAGTTTCTCAATGGCAACAAAAGATGCCAGAGACAGTAAAGAAATACTATAATGTACTTTGTACGCCCCAGAGATTGTGCAGTAACCATTAAAGATGTGGAATAGAGTGTAAAACTACCAAGAGGGGAAAAAAGGGGGAAATGGAATGGTTCAAAATTGACTCAATCCCCAGAAGAAAGTCAAGAATAGAGAGAATTTAGGAACACAGAACAAGTTGCACGTTCAGGAAATGCTTTTAAGGGATGGTCAACTTAAGTCCAAATGTTAATAATTACATTCAATGTAAATCGATTAAACGTTGCAATTGACAAAAATGATTGTGGTTAGACTGAATTAAAAAGAGAAAATCAATCTTGTGATATCTAGAAGAGACACATCTCTAACAAACAAAATAGAGGAAGATTGAAAGAAAAGGAAGGGCAAAGAGAAACTATGCAAACACTAATCAAAAGAAAGCTAGCATGAACAGATTAGCAGACAAAATAGATCTTCAGGCAGAAAGCATTATTAAGGACAACATTTCATACCAATAAAAGATTCAATTCACCAGAAAGATATACTAATTCTTAATTTATATGAGTCTAATAACATAACCTCAAAATATAAACATCATAACATTGATAGAACAGAAAAGAGAAAGATTCAAAATAGAAGATGTTAACACCTGTCTCAGAACTAATGGAACAAAAATAAATCAGTAGAGATACTTATTTGAGAACTATCATTAGCAAAATGGATACAATAGACTTACATAGAACACTGTATCCAACAATCACAACATACGTATTGTCTTCAATCACAGATAAGCCTGTCCACTAGGTAATCAAGCTAGGAACAAATAACAAAAACATACTTTTTAAAATCCTCATCACCCTTTTGGAAAGAAAGACTGCTTTCATTAGACACAGAACCTTTCAGTACTTGGATCTTGGACTTCTCAACTTCCCAGAATTTTCCTATACTACTAGTGGCAGTGTAAAATAAGATAGCCACTTAGAAAATAATTTGGTATTACCTAGTAGGATTTAAATATGTGCATCCTCTATGACCCATTCCTAGGAATACACCTAGAAGACATTCATGCTCACCTGCATCAACAGAAATGTATGTGACTGTTCTCACCAGCGTTATTCATGGTAGCCCCAAACTGGAAGCAAACCAAATGTCCAATATCATTGTAATAAATAACTCGATTGTGATACATACTACTCATACAATGGAATACTATACCGCAACGAAAATGAAGAAACTACAATCTCCTGAAACAATGTGGATACATCTAACAGATATAAAATAAGTGAAACATGTCACAAACAGATAGTATCTACTTCATTATTGTCATTTACAGGACATTCAAAAACAGACGAGTAAACAATATTTTGTTCAGAAATGGAAATTTAGTAAAACCAAAGCAACGAAGTAATTTTTAAAAAAGATTAAGCAACTTGGGCTGAAATAGTGACTAGGGAACATCACAATGGTGGGTTCTGGAGTGCTGACAATGTCCTTTCTTTTTTATCTAGATGAGGATGACAGACATATCATCTGTAAGAAGTCATGCACTTTTCTGTCTGTTTAGCAACCAAAAAAGATTGAAGTTAAAAGAACTCAGAGATAAATACAGCATTTTACGTAAAAAACACATAGCTGTATTTAAAAGAAATTGATCCCCCAAAATATAGAGATTGATTTAAACAACCCACTAGATAGGTTTCACAGTAGACACACAGCTGAAGAGTGAATTAGTGAACCGGAAGATAGAGTGACCCAATGTACCACATGGATAGATAGAAAGATGCATGAAATAAAGGAGGTGTCTAAAGAGATGGAGGATAGCATGAAAACCTCCAGCTTAAAACAATTAAAAAATATAGAGAGTAAATGGGCAAGAGGTAATGGTGTAAGTGATAACGGCTGAAAATTTTCCAGAATTAAGTAAGATATAAATCTGTTCCGGTCTCCCCCAGGTATGTGGTGATGGTGAGTATGCCCCTCCCCAACATCAGGTCTCCAGAGCTGCAGGAGAAGATGGCCTACTTGGATCAGACCCTCGTGGGTGCCCAGTGTTGCAGTGGGTGAGAGGAGAGTGGGTGGTAGGTGGGGGTGGCATCACCCCCAAGGCTTATACAGCCAGGCCTTCCCCACTGTGCTGGCATCTCCTGGCCCCTCCGGAGGCTTGCATGCCCCCCCTCCCTCTTGATCTTCCCTGTGATGTCACTTGGACTCCTGCTGCTGGCGCTGGCCACGAAGCCTCCTGGTCTGGCTCCAAAGCCTGGCAGGGTCTTTTCCCAGGGAGAGCTGCAGGCAGGAAACGGTCCTGATGGGTCATCCCCTTCACCCCCAGCCCAGAGCCCCAGGCCAGGTGCCCCCAGGAAAGGCTCTGGTGGAGCTTGTGATTGAAGGCCGTCAACCAGTCCATAGGTGAGCCTGGCTGCCTGGGACTGGGTAGACAGATGGGGGATTTAAAATGGGAGAATAGCAAAGCGGGGTTGCCTGCCTGTCTCTTACATGAATCTGAGGAAGGGGAGGGGGATGCCATGGGAATGTGCTGTGGGGGAGGCAGGTGTTACTCGGAGCCCCAGCCTCTGTTCCTATGCAGGCAGGGTCATCAGGCACCAGAGGGATTTTGCCAGCTTAGTGCTCCTGGACCAGAGATATGCCTGGCCCCCTGTCCTGGCCAAGCTGCTAGCCTGGATCTGAGCCAGCATGGAGGTCAAGGCCGCCTTGGCCCTGCCACTGATGCCATGCAGAAGGTCAGTCCTGCCTTTTCCTTTTCCAAGAGCCTCCCTGTGCCGAGATCCCATTTCTCACTGCCCTCTGTCTGCCCAGTTTCACCGGGAGAAGGCAGCCTCTTCCTGACGGACACACACCATTGCCTGGCGCTGTGCCCTTTCTTTGCCCTGCCCACTAGAGACAGTGTTTGTCATGGGCCTGGTCTGCAGGGATCCTGCTACAAAGGTGAAACCCAGGAGAAAGGGTGGAGTCGAGTGCTGCCAGGACCCAGGCACAGGCATTAGCTCCCACAGGAGAAAATGGGGAAATCCTGAAGAAACAGTGGGTCCTGGCTGTCCTTGGAGTGCTCCCTGGGCAGCTCCCTTCCTGTGTTGCTGAGAGCCATGTTTTCCACCTGGCCTCTGCAGGAGTCTGTGGCAGCTGTGGCATCCACTGTGGCACCTCCGTTCTGCTCACCTTCTTAGAGGCAAGATGGAGCAGGCCCCTCTGCCTCTGTCCTTTCTTGCCAAGGTTAGCTGCCCTGGATGGCTCACCCTCTGGTCTTGATTTAAAATGATCCCATGGCCACTGGGCTCCTGCCCAGGGGCTTGGCACCTGCCCCACCTTCTTCCTGGGTCACTCCTTCTGTAGCCCTGATCCCTAACCTACCCCACAGCCCTGCCTGGATTTGTATCTCCCTGGGTTGGTGCCAGTTCCTCCAAGTCAGTAGCAACTCGCTCCCTCTCAATCATATGAGCAAACTCCAAGGCACCTTCTACCCCGACACCAGCCATGATGCCAAGGGCCACTGGGCTCACAGTATGACTCTTTCTAGAGACCCTGTGTTTATCACTGAGATCTTTTTTCCTGTGGGAGAATGTCCCTCCCACCTGCAGCAGCTGCCCTGTTGACTACACCTCTCTTCTCCCTCTGGCCCCAGAGAAAGGGGTCGTGGTCATCTGGGATCTTCTGCCCCCATTACCTAGGGACCAGCAGGGGCAGGAGGAAAGTCACTGATCCCAGGTGTTTGCGTGCTGCACAGCTACCAGTCCTTATTTAAAAGTGCACTGTTGGTATCTGTTCAGTTCTTTATCGATTTATGCTGCTGTTTTCTCTGGAAGTCTCTTTAGGGAATTGAAGAGTGCACCGGGGCAGGGGCTGGATCCCCCGATGAGGCACAAGCAGACAAAAGCCCCATCCCAGCCTCATGGCCTCAAGCCAGCCTCCTGCTCTTGAAGGTGGTTCCCACACAGACCTGGGACAGTTCCATCCCCACCTCTTCCAGGGCAGCAGGGCTGAGGAGTCTGTCCTGGCTCTGTTCATGTTGAGGCAATAGCCCAAGTCTGGGTTTGGGGGAGGAAGCAATAGTGGAGCCCCCTAGGATTTCCAGTTGCCTCTTCTTCCTCTGCTTGTGCTTCTGGGGATTGGCAGAGATGCTCTGGAGTCTGACACAGGGGGAAAGCCTCCTCCTGGCTACTCACCAGCCCCAGAGGTGAAAGCGCTGGAGGGAAAAGGCTGAGTGAGGGAGGTCATTGGGGAACTCTGGTTCCCCCAACCCCTGGAGACTTAAACACAGGAAGAAAAAGGCAAGAGAGAATTAACAATGTCCTGGCCCACAGCAGGCACTGGCCCTGCCTCCTACCCTTGCATCCCAGGACCAGCTTGTTGAAGAGATCCCACATCAGCTCCCTGCCTTGGCTTATGGCTCTCACTGCAACAGGAAAGCCATGGAGGGAGGTGCCGGGTTCAGTCACAATCGACCCCCAGCTCCCTGTTCCTGCCCCCTGTAGTTTTGTTATTAGACCCTTTTCCTCCCTTGGTTTAGCTAGGAATGAGGACTCTAGGGCCACAGTTGTCCAGGCTCCCTCTACCCTAGAGGTAAGGATTCCAGGCCTCTACAGTTTTAAAACCACTACTTTATGAGTCAAGTAGAAAGAGAAATGAAAACTATTAAAAAAAATCAAGGATTTTGACCATTTAACAACTCCACAGAAAATCTGCCTGGGGTCCAGAAATGAGACTGAGGTGGCCTCAGCGAGCTGCTCCCACCTGAAGGAGATGATTCTGCTGTCATCCTGTCCATTGCCTTGGACTGCAGTGGCGATGGCCTGGGGTGGTGATGAGGGTGCACTGATCAGCACTGCAGCAGCTGGGGGAGATGAGGGGTGCTGTTAGCACTCCATCTTCTAGGTCTGAAAAGGAAGTGGAAGAAAGCATGGGGTGCTTAGGGAAGGAGATGTCTGAGCAGGGAGCCCAGCACCCATCCTAGTGCCCAGCTCCATTGGGTTGAGAGGCTTGAGCCTGGTGCCGGGGGAAGAGTGGATGGTGCAGGGTCCAGACAGGCATAGGTTCCTGAGGTTGTCTGCCAGGCAGGTTGGGCAGGTAGGATGGCACATCCACCTTGGGCACTTGGCCCAGGTCTGTCACATAGAAGTAGTTCTCTGAGACCTGCAAGATTAGGTGGGGATGTGTGAGAGGTGACAGAGACCTGCAGGAGCAGCCAGCGAGCCTTGTGTGCAGCCTGTACAACTGTGGTGGCATAAGGGGTTCAACAGAGCCTTTCCTGGAGAAGAGTCTGGCAAGGACCCCGGCCACTGCACCTGCCCCCACACCTGTGCCTTCCTCCACCTGCTGCTCCAGCCGCCCTCTCTTATTGATGGACAAGACGGCACCAAACAGTTCCTCCTCTGTCTCTGCCCCCAGCATCACGTGGGTCTTTGTTACAGCACCAGCCAGTCGGTCCAGACAGACAGACTTCTTGTATTGGGGCAATGAGGAGGTCAGGGAAGCTGGCACCTGCTGTCCCTGGACCATGTTCCTGAGCTGCCTCTCCCATATCATCAAACATACAGTGTGCACTGAGGGTCCCAGGCCACCAAGCCAGGCCACCCCAGTCACCTCCTGGCTCCCACCTCTGTGCTGCACCTGAGTGTGATTCCCTGGGTCCCCATTAAGCCAGGCTGGGTCTCCCATCCATGCTCTGTGACCCCATTTTCTGGCCATACAGAATCTCTGTGGTGTTGAAGAGCCTCGCAGAGACCTGGGGAGACCCCTGAGCCCTCCTCCATCCTCAGGCTCCAGCTTGGTGCTCACACATACAGGAAAGGACTTCAGCTTCTAGGAGGGCCAGGTAGCTGAGGGATGGTGTCAGGCCAGCAGCTGACCTAGAGGATTCTGGGGAGGAGGGAGTAGGGAGCACCTCCCCTGAGCCCTCCTCCTCATCCTCAGGCTCCAGCTAGGTAGCTGAGGGATGGTGTCAGGCCAGCAGCTGACCTAGCCAGTGCTGACACCTAGGTGAGGGATGCCTAGCCTGACACCATCCCTCAGGTCCAGGTAGCTGAGTGATGGTGTCAGGCCAGCAGCTGACCTAGAGGATTCTGGGGAGGAGGGAGTAGGGAGCACCCACTCCTGACCCAGTTTCACTGCTTCTTCCCTTGCCTCTGTCATGACCCCAGAGAAGCAGATTCTGAACCTGGGCTCTTGCCTTCACCTTTATCCTCTCCACTCTGGGATAATTAAGAATAATTTGCTAATTATGCAGGCAGCTGATCCAGTGCTGTGTAACCTTGGGGATCACCAGATGCCAACCAGTAGAGAGAATGTGGGAGAAGGAAGGATGGAAAAAGAGGACAAGGGGAAAGGGGAAAGGAGGAAGAGGAGAAGAAAGTGAGAGATGGGGGAAGGAAGAAGAAAGAAATGAAAGGACCAAGAGCTTTACAGAGAAAATCACCCATTTTCCAGGGGAAAGTGCTGGGCAGTGGTGCTGCCTCTCAGCTGAAGAGATTGGGCAGGAACTGATGGGCAGATGACAGCATCCAAGCTTCCACACACAGAGTCCGTCCCCTCTTTTTCCCTGTGCCATCCCAACCCCCCTCCTGCCTTGTCCTCTATGTTGCAGGAAGCAGGTGACATGTGTGGTTTGATATTTTGGGGCAGATAGAGGGGCAGGAAGAAGGGGCAGGGAGCGGCTGGGGGGTGCAGCTGGAGAGCCTCCGAGGTGCTTGTCACTCCCTTAGTCTCTGCATGCTCCCCACTGCAGCATAGCAGGAGGAGGGAACAGAGCCTGGAATACCTCAGTTTCCTCATCCATAAAATGAAGATAACAGCAGTGTGTGCTCATAAAATGTGGCCAGGGTTAAATGAGTTAATGCACTCAGATCGGTGGTGGTGCATGGTTATGGTACATGCATATTAGTGATTGCAAAATATTATAAATAGGCCTTATCACAACCGTAATTAAATAACTGAGCATGCATTGGTTCTTTAGATCTGTCTCTCCTTCTGTGCACTCCAGCTGGATAGGGACACTGGCTTATTCTGCACTGGATCTGTAGGGATTTGCTCACTCCCTTGCACACAGGCACTGTTGGGTAAAAATGTATACCAGCAGGAAAAAGTGAAGGATTAGGTCCCTGTCTGTGAGGAAGAGCATGAGTTGAGAGAACAGAGCCACCACGGGAAACCAGGAGGCGAGGTGGGGCTGAAGTGGGTGAGCTCTCAGGCTCTCAGGAGCAAAACCTTCCAAGCTGGTCTCTCACCTTGGGCCCCTCCCACCCAGGGAAGCTAACTGGGTGCTCCAGGATCAGGAATCCCCAAAGGGGCTGCTCCCAGAGGGTGTGTTACAGGGACTGGATAGAGGACAGGGGGCGGCCTTCTGATCAGGTGGGGTTGGGTGGCAGCACCAACCTGCTGAAGTTGTCTCCAGAGACCTTCTGCAGCCACTCTCGGGCATCTGCCACCTGCTGGATGGACTCTTCTTACCTACTGAAACATTACATATTTCTACAGAGGGCCTCCTAAGACTTTTAGTGCTTCTTTGCTACCATATTATTTGTCTGCCATTTTTATTGCAAAAGTTCTTAACACATATGTATATAATTATTTCCCCATCCCCTCACCTCCTATTTTTTTCTTACACACATTAAAGGTGCTTTTTTTCTTTCCACTCCAAGTCTGTCAAGGTCATCTAGTGCCTCCATGCCACCAATTTTAGGAACCAATTCTCAGTCCTGCATCTCCTGTGACCCCTCAGCAGTTTAACACCATTGATCCTACCCTTGTTTTGGGAACAGTCTATCAATATTTCCAGGAACCTCCCACTCTCTCCTGGGGTTTTTCCTACCTCTGCCTCTTCCCTCCTTCAACTACAGAGTTCTTCCTCTTCAACTCTATTTGGTCCTGGTAAATAATTCATAGAATTAATTAAGCAAACTAGGATTTATTCTTGCCTCTTCTCTTTTCCTATTACATCACATTACATCTAGTCAAATTAGCTATGTCATCATGGTGAAGTTCAAGCTTCAGA